TAGCCCCAAGCTGAAGCCACGGGGCACCTGTTCTCTCAAAGTTTGGGAGCAGAAGATGCAGACTCCATGGGCCCCACTGAGGACATGCACTGTTTTTCCTCATTTACCAAATCAAAAACCTGTGCTGACTGCTGAGCTGTGGTATTTTACAGACTGTAGATGAATCACAGCAGAACTTTCTAACTCATTCTGTCTGCTTTTTCTCATTCATCACCTATCAAGAAACTTGAAGCTTTCTGGCACATAAGCAGCTCAGTGATCAGAGGAGATGGAAGGAGGGGTCTGTTGGTGAAGACATCATTCGCATGACACGGGCAAGGCCGGCATCAGAGATGGAAGCATCATCAACTGCTAGCGAAGAAACCCAGCCTGAGGATCATTACCAGGATGTAAAGCCGAGCGATGGGGCCAGAGTATTTTAGGGATTTTCCTTTGCTCTTTGTAAACTGTGTGTTACAGACAGGACTCTGGAATCTCCGGTACTGGGAATGGTGGATGCTCGGCCAGCTCGGCACACTTACGGCGAAGAACAGCAGCAGATACACGCACAAGTGACATTCCGAAAGCCGTCCCTAACACCAGATATGACGGCATCTCTACTAGGTGAGACCTACCTTTCCTCCTGAGTCCCAGAAATTCCTAAGAGCTGTAGGTGAACTGTGAAGGTCTTACATATGTTCCTCTGAATATCTTCTCTAGTCTGTTGTTTGGGGGAGGATTAACTCATGGACATCCTGGAGGAGGAGAAATGGTTCTTTTGAAAGCGTCTGTTACTTTTATTGTGTCCCTTTTTTAGGAGGTGCAGCCTAGCGACAACTTCTCAGACTGACGTCCCATACGTCAGTTTGTGTTTACCTCCCACAGAACCCCAGGCGGATGAACGTGGGACCTAGAGGAATTCTTTTAGCTTTTCCCAAAGAATTACCAGCACTAACCCTTTTAGGGTTTCTACTGGCTTATTTGGGGATATTTTTGGAAATAGACACATTTGACATTGTGCAGTTAAAAGAAATCTAACTTCTAACAAAAGTCCTGGTGAATTTACACGTTTATTGACAGCAAAGTCACCTCCATATGTTACTGATGTCAAATCATCTGCATGCTTTTTTTAGTGCCATGGTTATCTAGAAACTGGGGAGGAAAGGCACAATTTGGTCGCCAGACAGACACACTGCAGTAGCAGTGGAAATGAGGGCCAGCAAGGGTTGATTTAAACCCCAGCAGAGTCCACTGAAAACCTTGCTTGGTTCTGCCATTCGATAATTATTAGAGACTGAGAAAGACACTTCAGCTCTCGGAGCCCAGGTTCCTCATCTAGAACGCGGGGTTAATAATACCTACTTTGCAGAGTTGCAAGGTCAAAATGTTTAAGGCTGGTGGTTCCTTTCTCATGCCCTCTCTATCTGAAAATGATTGCAGCTTCACCAGGGAGCCTGACCTCAGACAACACACTTCCTTAGATGTTACAAGGGTGCCGGCATGCAAAACCTGGCAAAAATACCACTGCCAAATTGACCAACTTCTTTCTCACCACTTTCCAGCTTCAGCTGAGTTCAAGGCTGTAACTTAAGCACTCTCCATTTTCAAAACAACTGCAAACAGTTAATTACATACTTCCTCTTCTTACCTTCCAGGAATAGCCTGAGATTGAGGTATAATCTCCAAGTCCCCTGAACCCTAAAGCTACACAGATAGAACGTCATATTTTTCTTACCCCATTGACCCAAATTACATAATGGTTCTTGCATGGATCCTAGAGAGGGTCATGGCTCATTCTAGTGCTCTCAGATTTGTGGTGGGCCTCTACCGTGCAAGGGGACTCTGATAGGGAAGCTGGCATAATCACCTTTACGATCACAGCTCCATCTTCCTTCACACATTCAGGGTACGGAGTCTCCACGTGCGGTAATAAATAGCACGTCTTCTATAATCACCAATTCCTTATTGTTTATAGGAATGTCTAATTGAAATGTTACGTAACCCGAAAGTACAGAGCATTCTGGAGCTATTAATAACCAGCTATATCCCAATTTTGAGGATACTTCAAACTTAGAATTGGAGGGCGATGTCTGGTATCAATAATATACACACATATACACATGCAAACATATACACCCATTGCATATATGTAAGCCCAGACCCAGCCAATGGAAATGATTTGTCCAAGGCCACAAAGCCAGTTAGCGACTGGGTCGGGAATAAACTCCAGCTTTCCTGGTCTTTGGGAGCTGTTCTTTTCCTCCGCACCCCGATCAGTCCAGGTGTGCCTCCTTCACGATGCAGAAGCGCCACAGCACTCAGAGTGAGTCCCCATGATGCTAAGTGTGGCAGCTGCAATCCTGAGTGCATGGTCTCACCCCCGACTTAGAATAGTAAGCAAACAAGGGAAATGTCTCCTCGTTGTTTTTTACTTATGATACATAACCCTCTCATTCTCCCAAAGAAACCCAAGGCACTTAAAACATATTTTAACATGAGGCCATTATATCTATGGTGGGGAAGAGTTCAGCTTTAGAGATCTTACAGGAAAAAAAAATGTGGGTTTAAGACAAAAAAGGAAGAATTTATTCTTGATTGCTTATTTTCACATTGGGCAGGAAAAAAGCAAAAAAATATGAGAAAACTAATGAATTAAAAAATAAATATCAGTAACAAGAGTCATGTTTTGTGATGTAATTCTGCTTTGGCTGTGAGTAGTATGATCTATGACACAAAAATCGTTATTTCATAATTAGCATTTTCGAAAGCAACTTAATGAAGATTGTTTCTCTGCATTCATTTTTATCCAAAACCTTACCAGTTAATCATGAGAAGCTAAAACACACAATGCTGGGAGATCAATATCCCCACACAAGATGCATTATTTTTCCTTTGTAGACACTATGAGCCTGTCAAAAATGAAAGCCTCTGGTTTTGTGAATTTCAAACAGTCACAAAACCCACTGAGGGCCGAGTTTCTGGGAAGAAGGTGGGACATGCCCGTTTCATTTGGGATTCGGCAGCACTTTAAGAGGTTCATTAATCCACATCTTGAAAAGACCAATGACAACCCCATTAACAGCCCATAGGTCAAAGTGATGGATTTAGCTCTAATCCACAGCCAAAAACTAACTCAGGGTATGAACATCCTTGAGGCCCACCTTCCCTGTCCCAGGCCCTCTGCAGCCAAGCAAAGGCAGGCTCCACGCATCACTAGTATACTCAGCAAACAACGGAGTTGGGAGACTCTGAAAAAATTACTTTATTTACTTGCAGTAATTGTTTGGGCTGGGAACATTTTACCTATGCAAATATGATTGATTCTTTCTGGGGAAGGGGTAGGAAAAGCTCCCCAGCTTGCTGCTTTCTAGCCTGCTGGGCATCTTGTTAATGAATTGTATGTCATCAGTTCTTAGGGGCTAATGTCATCTCTCCTCCTGAAATGCCTAACTTATTCCATAACCCCAATCTGACACCTTGGAACATTTTATAGCCACCATGTGTTAGCCCAGTAAATAATCTATTAAGCACAGCTCAAGCTTCACCTCTTTTGGGCTGAACCTGAATCTCACAGCTCCCTGGATACCAAGTCCTCTTCTTGGAAATCAACAACCCATTCAGTGTAGAACGTTAGTCCAAACGACTGGACTAAGACACCCCAGCTCAGGCCTGTAACTTACTAGTTCTTTCACTCATAGAATCACTTAGTTGAAGGGGGTCTGAGGGGCTGGTCAGTCCAACCTTGCTCTTTACTAACAGAGACACAGAGGCCCTTTACTGCTAAGGGACTTTCTCTGCACAAATGTACGTGTAGACAGCTGAACTCGACACTGTGACTCCACCGATGGAACAAGCCCCTCAGACCAGGACCAAATGATTCCATGTGGCTTCCCCCTTCAGGATTAAACTACATGCATTTAAACAAACAGTTAACAGTGGCAAGCCAGGGAACTGGGGCATGCATCAGGCATCGTATCTGCATTAAAACCTTTTTTCTTTTGGGCTGAGAAGTGTGAAGTTCTGCTGATACTGAGGGCTAGCAAATAAGAACCAACGCTGGACTGCCACCTGAACAGATCTGGGATCAGCCCCTGCTCTGGTGAAGCAACCATCTCCAAGATTTGCAAAACCAGGGGCAGGTAACCTGGAAGAGTCCTCCCCCCAGGGAAAGGTTTAGGATGCAGTTCTGAGGCCTAGCATGTGCTGGGCACAAAGGAGGAACCACTGTCCTTTCCATCCTTCAAGAGGCCTGGGAAAACAGAATCCCAGGAAAGAGAACGCCTAAGAAAACATATTAGCCTCTCACCTGAACTAAAAAGTAGCTTTACACTTGCAGTACACATTAGGGGTTAGCAGCAACGTGATGGCAGGATGGACAAAAAGTGCCTGCTATCAGCAATTCATTTCATCAGAACAGAAACTCATTGGAACAAGTATTTTCACACACATGAAATGACTCTTGAGAGGGAAGCAGTTAGTAGAAGAAATGAGACAGGTGTGTTTGTTACAAAGGGATCAGTCTGACAGGGAAGGAGAGGGCCCTGGTTTCCAATCCTGGTCTCCCACTTCCTCACCTTGTGACCTTCATTAAGTCATTCAACCTCTCTGAGCCTCAGTTTCCTCATCTGGGCAATGGAGAAACGGGTACCTATTTCCCAGAGCGGCTTTGAGGCACATTGCCTGGCATGGCCTGGACACCCACTAAATAAGTTGTTGCCCCCAAAAGCTAAGTCTGAACCCAGCTGCATACACATGCCATTATCTAAACCAGACAGGTCTCCCGCCTGCATGTCAAGCCCACATCTTTCTCCAGAAGGCGGAGGAAAGCACCAAGTCTCCAGGGCGCCCAGGCAGTTCAGCCTTCAGGCGGGGTTTTCTGGCAGGGGAAAATGAGGGATTCAATCGGAAGCCCCGAAGGCTTCCAGGCTACGGGTGGGAAAGGAGGGTAGGACAGGGACTCGGAGGCGGCCTCGGGGCCCTGCGAAGGAGGCTTTGTTCGCAAGGGGGAGGGCCTGGCTTACCGAGAAGCGCATCCGGAGGCGGTTGGGGGGCGCGCGGGGCACGCAGCAGAGCCACAGCCCGGCCCGGGCTCGGAGCGTCGGAGCCGCAGGAAGGCGAGGAGGAGGAAAAAAAGGAGGCTGCCGCGGGCTCCTGCCTCATTCTCCCGGGCAGCGTGGACCCGCGGGCAGCCGCCGGATGGGGCTGGCCGCCGGGCGCGGGACCCCGTGCGCGCTGCTCATGTCCCCGTCTGCCGCTGGCGAGGTGTGCGCGCAGCCGGCTCGTCTCTGGGCGGCACCCGGCGGCTCCTCATGCCCCGCGCCGGGGCTCGGCGGGAGGACCTCGGGAAGACAGCGCGGAGGGAAAGAGAAAGAGAGAGACAGTGTGAGAGCGCGCAGAGCTGCGCCCCGCGGAGGCCGGGGGCGGGCGGGCGCCAGCAGGACCGCGCTGCCCCACCCACCGCGCCTCCGCGCCCCGCGCTGCGCGCCCAGTGGGGCGCCGAGGCCCTGAAACTTTAGCACATGGCCGGTCCCGCGGCCGTGGTGGCCGAAGCTGCCCTGCTCTTCGAGCGCCCCCCACTGCTTCCTGCCCCAGCCCCAGAGCGCAGCTTACCAGCCGCGACTGCGACCGCAGCGGCGGGCGCCCACCCAGCAGCGCGCAGAGCAGTGCGCACCTGCGGGGAAGGAGGAAGGGGCTGGCGGCGTCGGGGTCCCTTCGGGTGGGGATGGGGAGGAGAGGGGACCTCGGCAGCAGCGATCGGCGCGGGTTAAGGCATCCTGGGCGGGGGCTGCGAGCGAGCCGGGTGTCCGCAGGCCCGGATAGGGCAGGGTCCGTGCGCCCCCTGCGCCGCGGCGCCGCTGCTGACGACGCGCGAGGGCTTCCCCGGCCCCGGGTCTGCGGAGCCAGTACCGTTACCTAGCGACTCGGTCAGGGGAGCCCACGCTGACGCGCGCGACGAGCCGGGCTGCGGCAGCCGAAGGGCGGGGAGGGAGGGGAGGGGGAGCTCCAGTGCGGCGAGAGCAGGCGGCTGCCGGCCGAGCTCCTCCCTCCACCTCCCTCTCTGCTTTGGGGAGGGGGCCGGGGAAGACGTGGCCTCCGCCTGGCCCTGGAGGCCTGCGCGGGGCGAGGGGACCAAGGGAGACACCGAGATGCTCCTGTCCCCGCAGTGGGGATGCAGCAGCAGGTGGCGGCGACGTGGCCCGTGGAGGCTTGGCACCCACAGGCGCGCAGGGAGCCCGGCCCGGGCAGAATGTGGCTGTGGGCGCGTGGGTGTGCGGGACGCGCTCCTCCCACGTGGCGTACATGGGGACCTGGGGACGCGGGTGGAAGAGGCGCCTCCTCCCTCCTCTGGTCTCCCTCCCTCCTTCCTGGACATTTTGCTCCTGCTCTGTCTCTTCATCATGGAAGCCCAGGTTGCTCCGTTTCCCACTCCCAGTTCCTTCTATCTTCCAGGTAACAGGAGGCTATCCTGGCAGCTGAAGGTAGTTACAGCGTGGTCAAACCACGACACCCCCAACCTCTGCCGCCCTTTGGCGCCTCCCATCCCACCCCCATGTCCAGTTGCCCGCTTTGTGGGCCTTGTAACCTGCCTCGGGGCGCATTCCACTTTTAGGACTTGGGACCTCTGACACAGACTTGGGTTCAAATACAGGCCCCTCCAATTGCTTGCAGTACGCAGGACATTTTTACCGTCTTCAGTAAGATGGAGCCTTTGTCCCCAAGGTAATAGCTAAGTACTAGAACCTAAAGCCTTCCATGAATGTGAACATGGTTTTCTAGAAGCTAAGCAGCCTGTCTACTGGTTCTCTGGGACCTCACGAAAATACCCCCCAATGTCCAGAGAAGTGAGGCAAGTGCCGGGAAACGTGGACAGGGCAAGCAGCCACCATGGCCTCTACCAACGAGGGGGGCAAATTGCCCGGATCCGCTGGGTGCTTCAGAAGCAGAGCTAGGGGAAGAACCCAGACATCCTGGTTAGCAGGTTCCAGGGCCCCCTGCTGGCCCCTTCCCCAGCTGGGTGGGGCAAGGAACCTTCTGCCCCTACTTCTCAGAAGATCCTCTTGCCTACAAAAGGCTGCCTACCACAGAATAGGACCCGCCTGCCACCTCACCCAAAAGACCAACCCACACCCTCCCTAGCTGGCCTTTCTGTCTTCCTCTCTGGTCTGGATGTGGGAAGAAAGATGCAGACGACAGACCCTGCAGAGATTTAGGGGAATGGGGCCTGCCCAGGAACTCCCACACCCCAGCCCTGCATCTCTGCAGGAAAGAGCCCCTCCAGGAGGGGCTTTGGGAAACCCCAGAGCCTGAGTGGTTTTTGTTGGCTTAGTGACAAGACATGTCCTCCAATTATTATTACTGAGATGCCAGTAACTCCTGTTGAAAAACCCTGCAAGTCCATCGAAACAGGAACCTGTGTCAAGAAGCCAGGGCCCAAAGGCCATACTTTTCTGAGAAAAGCACTTTGCATCCCAGCCTGTGTATGACAGTGCATTCCAACATTTTCCAGTGAAACTGGGAATAACATCTGAATCTCCCAACCAGTCATTATGGGTGGTTACATACTGAGAGCTGGTCCCCAGATACTCCAGAAGGACTATTTCTTGGTGCCAAATTGGCAGCCGGCTCTTTCTCCAGCCCCAATTTCCCAATCTGCAGGTAGAATTTGACACCTAATTTGGTCAGGGAGTCCGGTGCTTACAATAAATGAAACCTCAGAGCTTGGATTCCAGGCATCCAACTATTCCAGGAACCAAAGCAGCCTGCAGGGAAATGTCTCATTCGGGGTTTGCAGAGATTTGAAACATGTTGTTTGGGGATAGCAAAAGCCGGCACATACATCTTTTATTGGTGCATATATGGCTGGAGAAAAGGGCAGCAGGGAAGACTCTTACATTACATAGTCATTCTTCATTTTTTCTCAAATAATAGGAAGTGGGGAGTGCACAGGAAAGCCAGGATTGAGGAAGCCTATGATCCCTATGACCACACAGGGATTGTTCCTCAGCAATACAGTGGAAGAATATCTCCCTAAATTTGTAAGGAGTATCCACTGAAGTCAGGCACCGTGTTAGGCACCAGAGATGCAAAAATGACTTAGATAAGTCCTCTGTCTTCTGGGTCCTCATAGGGGCTTTTATTGAGGGCTTAACCCATGCCAGGAACTCCAGGTACGAAGAGTTTTATTTAGGAAAGCTCATTTTAACCTCACCAAACTCTGTAAAGTAGGTCCATTATCTTTGCTTAGGAAGGGAAGCTCGAAAAGGCTATGTCAGTTTCCTAAAGTCATGCAGCTGGCAAATGCTGGACTTGGGGAATTGTAACCCAGTCTTCCTGACCCCCCAGCCCATGTTCCTAATTTCCTATGCGGTCTGCCAGGCTGAAGGAAAAGAACAATAATAACATAGCTAGTGGCTACTTGAGACAGGATTGCCAACGAGATGTGTATATGAGTCTCCAGCATAGTTCCTGGAACAGAGTGAGCACTTGATAAAAAGATAGTTATTATTATCATTAGACCCCCACAGTTGTGAATTGATACGCTCTTTCTTATAGAGGTTACCAAATACTATTCTTGGAGGGGTAGAGGAAAGTGACTATACCTGTCTGCAGGGACTGCAGCTGGCTGCCCAGAGGAGGTGGCATCTGAGTTGGGTCCCCAAGGATGCATAAATATTGGGCAGGTGATAATGCAGAAGCAAGAACAAGCTAATCAGGAGGAATATGCAGGGTAACAAGCAGCTCTTGTGTGCAGGAGCTGAGTGAGACCCGAGGCAGGAAGACAAGAAGTTGAAGAGATGGAGCAAGTCCTAGGGATGCTGAAGGACACAAGTGGAAGAAACATCTTGAAACTGTGCAGGAACTGCCCTTAGGGAGGCAAGTAGAGAGGGAGCTAGGGGAGTCCATGACTCCTGTTAGTGCCGGTTTCCTCCCTGAAGGAGCAGGCAAGGCCATCAGCTGAGTCTGGCCCATGGGGTGGTGAGTGTGAAACAGCGGAGCAGCTAGCTGGAAAAGAGGATCCAGCCTCCAGGCAGCCACCCAAGCCAAGACTTAGTAGCTGTGCTTGACTGAGGCGCCTCCCATCATTCAAAAGGACAATGGGGTCCTGATCCCTACCAACCACCACACTTTGCAGGGACATGGCAAGGTACACAGTACACTTCACCAGTCCTTCTGTGTGAGAGGGCTCAGCAATCTGTAATGAGTGTATTGTTTGCATGAGAGTCATAAATAGTACATCTGTTCCAAGCTTTTTGCAGATATTAGCCTATTGGATCTATTCATCTGTTTGTGCAGTCATTCATTTAATAAGTGTTTAACTGAGCACTTACTAAGTCATGGGGTTTGCACCAAAGGGAGGCCCTTCCTTGGATCTAGGAGACTGAGGAAGGCTTCCTGGTGAGGGAGACTTCTAAGATGAATCTGAAACATCAGTGGGAGTCAGTCAAATGAAAGGGAAATGGTTTGGGGGTTGGGGGGCAGAAAGATTTCAAGTACAGGAACAGCACTTGCAAAGACTTTCAAATACTGAAAAATAGAGCCCACTAAGAAAGGTCAAACAGTTGTTCCTTTTAGAGAAGAAACACTATGTGTCGTGCAGTCAGGTAAGTGTATGATACGGGGTTGGGGGTAGTAGGACCCAAGAGGGAGAAAGGACTTCCTTAGAAATGGCTCAGGAAAGATTAGAAGCATCCTTCCTTTCTAAAAATCATTATCTCTACTGTTAATGACTTTTATTTTTATAGTGCTCTGAGGTTTTCAGAACCTCTCATTTCCCACATTTCATTGGCTCTCATCATATACATGGGGGTTTGGTCTGGAGGATTCCTCAGTCTCAAAGCTGATACCTGATAGACCCTGTGACTTGAAGCTGGGGCTTCCCCCTGGGTGGTCTTGTCCTGAAATTTGTTAATACTTGCATATGGCTCTTCACAGTTCACAAAGCATGTCCATCTTCCTGAGCTCACCTGGCTCTGTCAGCATCTCCAGCTTCAAAGGAAGAAAATGCTAGCCCAGAGAGGGGCAGCCTCTATCCAGCAAAGCCCCCTGGTTAGTGGGAGGCCAGGAGGGTAACTGGCTGGGCTTATCCGGGCAGGCTGCAGCCGCTGGGCTGAGCAGAAGTTTGATTCGTTTGCATTCACATGAATGGGACAGCCTGCGTCAGTGGCAGGGCCTGAGTGAAGAGTGCCATAAAGACAGGTGAAATGAAGTGAGGAGGACTCAAACATTTGTTTAGGATCGGCTTTCGGGTTGGAAAGGAGGTGGTGAAAGACTGAAATTAGGACGACTGGGAAGAGCTGAGAGAAGTGGCGAACACAAAAGAGATCATTTGGAAAGAGGATACTATCAATTTCAAATAGCTACAGGGTTTTCTTAAAGGAGAGAGCTTGATTAGCTCTCACAGTTGGCCCCAAGAAGTGGAACTAGGCCACCAGGAA